AGTTCAGATTATTGTGATAGGATTACTAATTCATGGCGACTATATATATACATATATAGGTATATATGAAAATCAGAAAACTCTAATCCTACCAAAGAGCTTAGTGTTGTTGCTTTGTGTACAGTGGACACTTCTCCCGCTAAAAAGTTCTAGCGGTAGCAACAATAATTTGGGGAGCTGTGGCGTTTTTGGAGGGCCGCTGAGGTCAGGAAAATTAGCAGGCACATAAAGGGACAGGAAAAAAAAAAAAAAAAAAAAGAGGGTGAGGGATGCTATGAGTCTCTTTCGCCACGGGGAAGCACGATGAAGGTGGCACACGGGCACAGTGACCATCCCTGTAGTCACAGTTTGGTTGAGAGCGCGAAAAAAAAAAAAAAAAAAAAGAGGGTGAGGGATGCTATGAGTCTCTTTCGCCACGGGGAAGCACGATGAAGGTGGCACACGGGCACAGTGACCATCCCTGTAGTCACAGTTTGGTTGAGAGCGCGATTTTCGGTCTAGACCATTTTYGTCCCTTCTGTAGAAAAACGGTGATCTATCTGACGTGAAAGCCGCGGGGCAAGGATAAGTTGTTTAGCGCTTTCCTAAAGAAACCTACACGCCTGGATTTACTTTATATAAATATGATACGCCGCCGTGTACCTTCGYTAGTCTTGGATGCTTTTAGCTCCCCGAGGACTAAGCGCCTAACGACCCCATTGAGCCTCCCGCTTGCGCGGGGACCAAGCCCTGGAGCATCTGCCCTGCCCGGGAAAGCCATCTGCTCCCCTCGCCGGGACGTGTGCTCGGAGCGAGCACTGGCCTTTCGGGGGGAGCCCCGCCATGGATGAAATCCTTGCGGGGGGAGGAGGCGTGGAAATAACGAGGCGGGGGTGGCTTCTGTGTAGCCGACACGGCAGCCAGAGGGCTTTCGCTGCCAGATGCACCCGCTCCCCCTCACGCTGCCCTCGCCGCTCGTCTACGCGTCTAAGTTGCAGAGGAGCGGRCGGTTTTACCGGGCTCCGAGGCGCCCCCCGCCACCGCCCACCTCGGTGTACCCTGCCGCCCCGCGGGGCTCCCCTCGACGGGCAGCGCGAAGCGGCGGCACCGGGGGCCGCCCGTCCCCATCACCCCGGGGCGGCGCGGGGGGCGCGAAGCGGGGGAGGGGGGCGACGGGACGCGCCCCCCGCCCGCCCCGTCGGGCGCTCCCGCGCGCACGTCACTGCACGGCGCGCGCGCGCGCGCCATGCAAATCGCGCCCCGTCGGCGCGCGCCCATTGGCCGCCGCGAGGCGATTTAAGGCGGGCTCGGCGCGCGCCGTATGGAGGCAGCGCCGCTCGGCCCCGCGCCGCCCGACGGCTCCTCCTCTGCCGCGCCCGTCCCGTCCCGCCCGGGCCGCGGCACGGAGAACAGCGCCAGCAATTACTGTGCAACTTCGCCGGGGCTTGTTTTGGTGCGGCTCTCCCC